GTAACTCGCGGTATTTACCGATAACTCACGGTAGACTGCGTACAGCGTACCGGAAAATAATGCGGTATCGCCCGCGCATTTTGAATGGCTGCATCTGTATATGGACAAGACTAATTAAAAAATGGAGAATCAATAAAAAAATTATAACTTTTTGTTTTGGTTGTTGCTTTTATGTTAAGCAAGTTACATTTTTACTCATTTATACAGCTGGATATTTTACTGAAGCAATCGAAGTGAATAACCTTGATCAATAATGCAATACCAATGCACCACTTTGGCTTTGAACCCTCGACCTTCCGGTTTAATGTCATGCCTGCTTTAACTGCAAAACAGATGTGACTTGTTCAAGTCATGCACATTTTGGCTGGGTGATTGTTGGAATCAAACTTTTTTTCACCAGAATAATGTCTTCTGGATATTTTGTTGAAGTAAATCCATTAGCAGACTAAATGTCATATAACACTGCTTGTATAAGAAAATATTTAACTCATTAGTCTAGGAATTGCAGTATTTCACAAAGACGTAATTGATTTTAGTATTTAGACGTGATACGAATTACAGTGTATCTATGGCATTTTTCAGTAGCAATTCTTTTTGTTGGGTTCCCAAGGAATTAGTGCTCTCTACAGGGCATGTAGGGATTTTTGTTTAGGGACTGAGCATGATTAACATAAAACCTCAATTATTAATACAGTACAAACCAAACCATCTCTTTATTATGAATTCAATGTATTGCTACTTATTTTCTTTTTTATATTCAGAAGTTTAATTTTTTAATGATTAATTCATACAAAACAGTTGGGTAAAAGTTGAGAGTCGGATCCGACTGACCGGATAACATCATCATCATCAATGCACATTTACTTTGCTCGTGCAGTCCTTTCCTATTATTAATTCATTATAAATTGAATTCAGTAACATTCATATTAATTCCATTTGTATTGTGCTTTACATGCCACATGATCCCAAACCATTTTACATATAGGAGAGGACTCTTACGTTCACCATTTCCCATCTGAGTGATATGGCATCCGTTATGTGCCAGCAGCCCCACTGTACTGCAGGGGTTTCAGTGTTCAGGTAGAGAAATTAGAAAGCGCTTCACACATTGAATTCAATTAATAAGTTAACTTTAGGAAGGTCAAATTGCTTAGGCTCAAAGTATAATTTATCAAGGAGATAAGGGTTACCAACCTTACTCTTTCAAAAATAGCATTGGCATTGACCAAGTAGTCAAGACATCAGTTTCATGCTGTATATGAAGGACAGTGGAATGTTACTGATGCATTACTGGGGCATTGGTTTGGAAAGTATGGCCAAGTGGGAAGAATGCCATCTACTGGATTACAAGCACTGCTTACAGCAGCAAACATATTTTTCTTGGGGAATTCCTATCCCAGCATTAATCAGATCAGCATGCAATGTTATCATACAAGTGACATCACTCTCATGACACTGCACACTGTATTTTTAATCCCCCCCAAAAAAAGAATTAAAAAGAATAATAGTAATAATTACTGTTCTTTTATTATAGTAATTTTCACCTCAGAAGTATAACACGATTTCTCAGCACATTATTACAATGCTTACAGTCAAAGTGTCATTTTGATTCAAACGAGTCATTAAAGACTGAGCTCCAGAGCACATTTTATTCAATTGTGTCAGCTTTTGAAGGCATTGAAAGGTGAAATTTGCACAATAGAAATGCATGTTCTGCGTTTACGTTTCTAAAAATAAAACAGTAGTAAAACAGTATTTAAAAGTTATTGAAATAAAAGGTGTATTGAAAAAATATAGATTGTTAAAGCCCTCTAATTATAAACACTTAATTATATTATAGTTAATTATATAATTATATATATTTTAATTCTTCTTTGTATTATTTTAATTATTTACTAGATGGAGCAATGTTGGTGCTAACCATACTGTATTTGTACAGTCTTTACTATGAATTGTTTGCAATTTTGGCTACAATAAACTGTATCCCATTGCAGACATCAACACTGGCACTCTAGACCTGAAACATTATTCAGTAATTTTCTTGAAGTTACATCTCAGTTCAGTGATTTTTTTTAATTCTCATATTAGTCCTTTCTGGAGAGAAAAAAAATGTTATCTTTTCCTATGCTGTAAATGTAGTCATTTTCGCAGGGCTTTATGGCACTGCTTAATCTGTTATAGTTCCATAAATGTCAATACAACCATAGAACATATATTTAACCACAGAATGTGAAAGGGCATACATACCCTTACACAGTATAAGAACAGAAGTACCAATCAGGTATTCTAATGTCCATCTGTTGGGGAATATCACAAATTCATCCCATGAGTTGATCTAGTCACTTTCAAACAACAGATCTGTTGCCTGCTTTTATCTGACTGATTTTTTATCATAAAGTGATTAGGCTGTACTTTAATTATAGCAAGTGGCAGTTAATATGTTCCAGTGGAAAACAAATCCAGTGGGAATAAAAAGAAACTAATGTACAGGGTTCTTAATTTTGCCACATCGTAGTGTTCTTTAAATGGCAAAAGACCGATTTCAATATGGTAGCAGTACAATACTATAGGGAAAGAAAGATTTACAGCAGTATTTTGATTGGAGACACATTTCTAATGAGGTTTGCTGTTTAGGGAATTAACAGGATGGTGGTAACTTGTAGGACTTTTTTCTTTCCCATCCTGATTTCGTGTGAATTCCTCTACCTCCAGAAAAGAAGGACACAGTGCTGCGCCAGGTCCGCCTGGACCCATGTGACCTACAACCCATCTTTGATGACATGCTGCATATTCTGAACCCGGAGGAGCTGCACATAATTGAGGAGATTCCTTCAGCTGAGGACAAGCTGGATAAACTCTTCGAGATCGCTGGTGTCAAGAGCCAGGAGGCCAGCCAAAAGCTTTTAGACTCTGTGTATAGCCATCTGCCTGACCTCCTGTAGGCGCATGGCCAGAGAAATCCTGTCCTGTTCTTATCCCAAGCTGGTGAGGTTATAAAAGGCAATATTGCATGTGCAAGTACAGCCTGGAACATGTGGCAGCCTGAAGTTTTTTTTTCTTGGGGCAATTACTTCTTAATGTGCACATTAAAATATACCTTGCACTTGCATCAATGTAGCTTTGACAAAGTGTTCTCTTACTGTACATTTTATTAGTGTTCTCATTCTTCAGACAAATGTAGACAAGGTCTACATTTAAATATATATGTTATTGTTTAAGACTAATGATATGTAAAATAATTTATGCACTCATTTTTAAAAATGTTAAGGTACTCTGGTCAACTCTGCTTCAGTTGCCAGTGTTCCTTGAAGTGCTGTTCACTAATGTCATATTTGTTCATTTTGTATTATCTTTTTTTATTCTTGTAGTTTATACACGTATGTTGTACAGCGCAATGTTTCACAAAATCTGATGGGCATTCAAGATGATTACTTCTTGGGTTAATGATTTAATGTAACAAAAGGTTCTCATTCAAGATACACTACTTGAATTAGACTAGCACACTTTTGCATTGTATTACTTTACTGTTCAAAAAAAGGTACACCTGATATCTTTCCTTATCACACTTCAAAAGGCACTGAGAAGTATTTAGTATTGAAATATAAAATGTTGCAGGACAGTGTCTAAAAATGCCTGCTTTTGGTGAAGATATTGATGATACAAGTTTCATTCTGTTGAACCAGTCATATATCAAGGTAAACCAGTCTTACTCTTGAAACTATAGGAATGGTTTGATGACTTGAGATGTTACTGACTTCATTAATTTGCCCTCAGTGGGAAAAACAAATTACTCTTGAATTCACTGAAGAATAAATAGATTTGCTTTCTAGCCTATTATGAGTTTATTGAAGTATGTATGAGAAGTGTTTCTTACTGAGGATTGGTTTGCACCATATATTCTTTTAATACTTAACCCTTGTAACAGATAATGAGAGTATTATTGTAACATGTTACATCAAACCAATTAAAGGTCAAACTTTTGTCATAATAGTTCTGGCGACTCCTTATACATCAGTCCATACATCATCAATGCAAATGTTATGCATGTATAAATTGTATGGAGGTTTTAAGGACCACATTAAAGAAGGATATTTTTTTTTCCATCATCCATCCTCTGTGTCAGTTTCACCAAAGGAAAAATGTTTTAAAAATATCCTTTGCATATCACATCAGGGAATAGTAATAGTACTGTTCATTTAAGTTGGCTTTTCTCTGACACACTAGCAGCTTCTAAGATAATTTCCATTGATATCTTGCAAGTATTCGAGAACAGTTGTATCTTGTATTTTTGTAGCCAAAACAATTCAAAATCATGTTATTGTTACAGTACATTTATCGTTACTATAAATTAATAATTTTAATAATCAAAATTTAAGAAAAATCTGTTTAGGGGTCCAAGACCCTGGATTATTATTTATTATGTAGTTTAAACTTTGGCATTGGTAGATGCATTCATTAATGTTTGACCTGTATCCCAAAATAAGTTTAATAGCCGTGCCAAAATCAATATTTTAACAAAAAATATCTTATTGGTTTCTGTGCAAGTGCATCATGGACTGTGTGCCAATATGCACATTTGCGGTTTTGCGCCCTTCATATGCGCGTCCCCGCTCAAGTCTGCAAGGGCTTAGGGTGTCCCATTTCTAAATTTGTGTTTCACAAGGGAGCTCACTATTGCCCTTAATGCGCCCTTCTCTGAAGTCCTCATCAAACCCGGGAATTTCTTTGCGGAATGGTGACGTTTCACGTTCTAGCCTATCAAAGCGGAGTAATGTTACCATAGAGAATAAAATATTCACGTGTTAGTAAAATTTAACATTTTTACAGTTTTAAAACTCTTTTACATATATTTTATGTAAAAACAAAATTTAATTAGGCTACTTTAGATTCATACTGTATATATTCTAGGAGCGAAGTTTTGATATAAAGCTTTTATTACGTCAACCCAATTCACTGATGAACAATCGTTTACCTGTCGTGTATTTTGTACATAGAATATTTAATATACAAGTATTTCATAGTACAAAGCTTTGAGGTTTACCTTACTTAGTTTACTTTGAATGACCGCGTTATGTTCCTCGTACTGTCATTTTTGTACAGGGACAGACAAGATGAAATGTATTTAGTAGTATAAAGCTTTCATTAAACCAAGATTAAGTTTAGATCACTTCGGCTGTTTTGAGTCGAGCCTGCTCAATATAATTGAAAACTACTTTTGTGCAGGGATAGACAAGATGAAATTCAATTTAATCAAACTGCTAGAATGAAAAATATATATATATATAAAGAAAATAACTGCCGACATGCACTTTGCCGCTGGAAGAGAATCAACAACAGGAAGCATATTCACCGTGAGCCGTGAAACCAGCGGGTGACGTCAGCGAGGGTGTCCCAATAGCCTTTTAGCGGTGCCCCTCAAATACTCACGCACTTCAAGTCCGTACCGGCTCTAAAGAGGAGGCATGTATCTGACTTTGCAAATTGTTTTTCTAAAAAGGCAACAAACGACTGTATATGCATTCTTGTTGCAGCGATACATTTCTAAATGTTCCACTAAAAGGTACATCTATCATCTGTTTGTTTAAGCGGTTTACCCGGCTGATTGAAACTACTGGCTTACAAAGTCCCATTGAGACATTTGTTTTGTGATTTTTAATATAAATGTGTATGAGAAACTGTCTTCAATAAATCCTTAAATGATGGCATAATGTACTTGTGCAACTAAACAGCATTAGCTGGGAAATATATGGACGGGCGTATTATTTTAACTTGTAAGGAATTTATACATTATTTTACAGAGTAAATTAACTTTATTATACGAATTTTTAATTCTTCTAGGAGTTCAAATTGCTTTATAAGTTTTACCTTATAAGTTTGGCTTTGACAGAGGTAAAATTACAGTATTGTGCCTGTGTACTGCCACACAAAAGAGTTAGCCTCATAGTGTATGTTGCTGCCTCTTCAGAACAGGAAGTGTTTTATTTGCATACCACTGATGACAGGTAATATAATGTAAACCATATGTAAAAAACATTTTACTTACATCTTTAATAATAATAGGCCATACAGTGGATGTAAAAAGTCTACACACCCTTATTGAACTTTTTTCTGATGTAAAGCCAGAAATCAAGATAAATCATGTCAGACATGTTTCCATCTTAATAATAATAATAATAATAATAATTGCTTACACTTATATAGCGCTTTTCTGGACACTCCACTCAAAGCGCTTTACAGGTAATGGGGACTCCCCTCCACCAAAGTGCAGTATCCAAAGCCATACCTTGGTTGACTTGGATGTGTCGTTTGGGTCGTTATCATGTTGGAAAGTGAAATTCTTCTTCATTTTCAGCTTTCTGACAGAGGCCAGCAGGTTTTGTGCCAAAATATCTGATATTTGGAGCTAGTCATTATCCCTTCTATCTTGACTAGAGCCCCTGTCCCAGCTGAAGAGAAGCAGCCCCAAAACATGATGCTTCCACCACCATGCTTCACAGTAGGTATGGTGTTCTTTGGATGATGAGCTGTGTTGTGTTGTTATGCAACCAGGGTGTTGTAGGGCTTTTAATTTTAATTATTTTTCCTAATAATTATCTATTTGTTTTTCTCTTGAATTTTGTTGGTTGCAAGGTCACATTAAAGATGAAAACATGACTGACATGATTTATCTTGATTTCTGGCTTTACATCGGAAAAACCTGCAATTTCAATAAGAGTTTGTAGACTTTTTATATCTACTGTAGATTCTAAAAACATAAAACATATCACCCTCCCAAGTCAGTAAGTACACTTGATTGCTTCCCTCATAGCCCCTGGGAAATTTCAAGAAAGTTTTTAGAGTTCATTCTTAGCAGTTAGATTGTTTAACAAAAAGACATGCCCCTGGCACTTGTTCGTAGGTAGTTGTTTTTCCCAAGAAAATATTTGTTCTTTGTGTCAGCACTCATTACTAGTTAGGGTGTGATTGTCATGAGCTTCAAGCCCAGGTGGTTGCTCAGAAAGCTCATCAACTGTTACCGGAAAAGAGTCAGAATGTATGTGTTGCCCTTGTTACAGGGAGTGGTACTGTTAATAAACAGAGCAATTCATGTCATGGCCTCTTAATAATCCCCATCTTTGAATTGGCTTCATCACTCTGTTCTCCTCCCCACTGATAGCTGATGTGTGGTGAGCGTTCTGGCGCACTATTGCTGCCATCGCATCATCCAGGTGGGGGCTGCACATTGGTGGTGGATGGGAGTCCCCAAGTGGAGTGTCTATAAAAGCGCTATGTAAGTGTAAGCAATTATTCATTATTATTATTATTCCTCATCAGATTCCTTGTTGCCTATCTGCTCAGTTTTTAGGGACAACCTAATTTAGGCATTGCCTGGGAGCCTTTCACTTTAATGACTGACTTCTGATCTTAAGATCTGCTAATGATCTGTGCCTTCGTTTAACTTTATCCCTGAGTTTCTTTTAAATCACCTTAGTTTTCAGATTAATCTGTGCTTGCAATTCACTACCTAGCTAAGGGATCAGGTGGATGCTGCACATTGGTGGTGGTGGAGGGGAGTCCCTATTACCTGTAAAGTGCTTTGAGTGGAGTGTCCAGAAAAGCGCTATATAAGTGTAAGCAATTATTATTAATTCATTGTTTTATATCACACTCACTTTACCTTGCACTTTTCTCATTTCTATGTCAATAATTGTAAATCTGTGTTATTTGTGCTGTACAGTACATTTGAGGAAATCTATAATTCCTTATGAATATGAAATGTAGGAATACAATTTTAATAAAAATAAATACAATAAAATTATATTTTATATAATCATATTTTTTATATAAAGATGTAAAGAGATAAAATAGAAATACTATCAATAACTCCACTAAAGAGGAAAAAAAATATTTTATTCATTCTTTCTTCTGGGTTTTACAGAATCAAAGTCAAAGGCATAATTTCAGTAGCTGATAACTCGATGTGTCAGCTCTTTGAAGACAGATTAAAGTACATAAAAATGAAAAAAAACTAGAGGAATTATATAAAAGGTCTAATAACTTGTTTATTAACACAAGAGAGTAATTAATATACTCTATACAGTGTATTTTATATGAATATGTACTATAATTAACTCTATACTCTAATTTATATACAGAGTATATAAATTACTCAAATGTGTATTGTGAATCTTTATTTCTCCATGATCACAGCCTATCTTTTCTATTAGAGAACTTTCTGCTCCAAATGCTTTCTATTGTTTATCTGTCATTTTTCCTGGCATACCCAGTAGTTGGTCTGTCTACACTTTAGAAAGTCCCTTGATTGCAAGACTGGTTCAGCAAGAAAGAGAATGGCAAAAATTTCTGGAATACAGTACCAGTAAATGACTCTGAATACAACCGTCATAAGTTTCTCATAAGTTCAACTTCAGAAAGGTGGATATAAATCTTGTTGTATAGGATTGACATTAATCATTTACTGCTCTATAAAAAGGGCTTGTCGTGGGTAATTGTAAGAAATTACAATTATTATTACTTTGTTAGAAATTATTATTATTATTACTACTACTACTACAACTATTTATTCAGGGATCTTTCAATTTGCTAAATTAAATATAATGTATAAATAATGAAAAAATATTTATTGCATTATTCTTATTCTTATGTTTCATTGGCAATTGAAACTGGGTATTAGGATGTGGAATGTGACTTTGAATGTGAATGTGCTATTCCAGCAGAAATTATACAGCTTTTATTCACAAATTTAGCTTTCTACTCCAGATTCGGCCTGCAGGAATGTACCAGAGTGTGACACTTACAGTAAGCGCCTAACAGCAGCTCAATTAGTTAACCGTCATGGAGATGGTGTTTATTAGAATGCCGCTATCCTCTCTGTAATTCTAAATTCCAAATTGTCAGGGGCTTTCAAGCAATTCTTAAACATAGTTTTTCTAATTTGGCTACCTGGTATCCATTGGCCAGCAGGGTTGTGTCACAGCAGTTACTAGAGC